CTTCTAGGATTTTTATGTTCCTAGGTCTCACATTTAAGTCTTTGATCCATCTCAAGTTGACTTTAGTATAAGGTGTAAAGAAGGGGTGCAGTTTCAGTTATTTGCATATGGCTAGCCAGTTTTCCCAACACCATTTATTAAATAGGGAATTCTCTTCTCCATTGCTTGTGTCAGGTGTGTGAAAGATCAGATGGGGATAGAAGTGTGGTGTTATTTCTTAGGCCTCTGTTCTGTTCCATTGGTCTGTATCTCTGTTGTGGTACCAGTACCGTGCTGTTTTGGTTACTGTAGCCTTGTAATATAAAGTCAGGTAGCATGATGCCTCCAGCTTTGTTCTTCTTGCCCAGGATTGTCCTGGCTATGCGGGCTCTTTTTTCGTTCCATATGGAGCTTAGTTTTTTCCAATTCTGTGAGAAAAGTCAGTGGCAGCTTGATGGGGATAGCACTGAATCTACAAATTCCTTTGGGCAGTAAGTTCATTTTCACGATATTGACTTCCTATCCTTGAGCATGGAATGTTTTTCCATTTGTTTGTGTCTTCTCTTACTTCCTTGTGCAGAGGTTTCTAGTTCTCCTTGAAGAGGTCCTTCACATCCCTTGTAAGTTGTATTCCTAGGTAATTTTTTCTCTTAGTAGGAACTGTGAATGGGAGTTCACTCATGATTTTGCTCTCTGTTATTGGTGTATAGGAATGCTCGTGATTTTTGCACATAGATTTTGTATCCTGAGACTTTGCTGAAGTTGCTTATCAGCTTAAGGAGATTTTGGGCTGAGAAGACGGGGTTTTCTAAACACACAATCATGTCATCTGCAAACAGAGTGACTTCCTCTCTTCCTATTTGAATACCTTTCATTTCTTTCTTTTGACTGATTGCCCTGGCCAGAACTTCCAATAGTATGCTGAATAGGAGTGGTGAGAGAGGGCATCCTTGTCTTGTGCTGGTTTTCAAAGGGAATGCTTCCAGTTTTTGTCCATTCAGTATGACATTGGGTGTGGGTTTTTCATAAATAGCTCATTATTTTGATATACGTTCCATTGATTTCCAGTTTATTGGGAGTTTTTTTTAGCATGAAGGGGTGTTGAATTTTGTTAAGTCCTTTTCTCCATTTATTGAGATAATCATGTGGTTTTTGTCATTGGTTCTGTTTATGTGATGGATTACGTTTATTGATTTGTGTATGTTCAACCAGCCTTGGATCCCAGGTATGAATCCGACTTGCCCATGGTGGATAAGCATTTTGATGTGCTCCTGGATTCGGTTTGCCAGTATTTTATTGAGGATTTTTGCATCAATGTTCATCAGTAATATTGGCCTGAAATTTTTTTTGTGTGTGTCTCTTCTGGGTTTTTGTATCGGGATGATGCTGGTCTCATAAAATGATAGGGAGGATTCCCTCTTTTTCTATTGTTTGGAATAGTTTCAGAAGTAATGGTACCAGCTCCTCTATCTCTGGTAGAATTCAGCTGTTAATCCTTCTGGTCCTCGACTGTTTTTGGTTGCTGGCTATTAATTACTGCCTCAATTTCAGTACTTGTTATTGGTTTATTCAGGGATTTGACTTCTTCCTGGTTTAGATTTGGGAGTGAACATGTATCCAAGAATTTATCCATCTCTTCTAGATTTTTGTAGTTCATTTGCATAGAGGTGTTTATTCTCTGATGGTAGTTTGTATTTCTGTGGGATCAGTGGTGATATTCCCTAGGTCATTTTTTATTGCATCTATTTGATTCTTCTCTTCTTTTTAGTCTGGCAGCCTTCTATTTTGTTGATCTTTCCAAAAAACCAGCTTTTGGATCCATTGATTTTTTTTGATGGGTTTGTCATGTCTCTATCTCATTCAGTTCTGCTCTGATCTTAGTTATTTCTTGTCTTCTGCTAGCTTTTGAATTTGCTTGTCCTTGCTTCTCTAGTTCTTTTAATTTTGATGTTAGGGTGTCGATTTTACATCTTTTCTGCTTTCTCTTGTGGGCATTTAGTAATCCTGAATTCTAGTTTGGTTGCCCTGTGGTCTGAGAGACTGTTTGTTATGATTTTCATTCTTTTACATTTTCTGAGGAGTGTTTCACTTCCAATTATGTGGTCAATTTTAGAGTAAATGTGATGAGGTGCTGTGAAGAATGTATATTCTGTTGATTAGGGGTCGAGAGTTCTGTAGATGTCTATTAGGTCTGCTTGGCCCAGAGCTGAGTTCAAGTCCTGAGTATCTTTGTTAATTTTCTGTCTTGATCTGTTTAATATTGATAGTGGGGTGTTAAAGTCTCCCACTATTATTATGTGGGAGTCCAAGTCTCTTTGTAGATCTCTAAGAACTTGCTTTATGAATCTGTGTGCTCCTTGTATTGGGTGCATATATATTTGGGATAGTTAGCTTTTCTTGTTGCACTGATCCCTTTACCATTATATAATGTCCTTCTTTGTCCCTCTTGATCTTTGCTGGTTTAAAGTCTCTTTTATCAGAGATTGGGATTGCAACTTTTTTGTTTTGCTTTCCACTTGTCCACTTGCTTGGTAAATGTTCCTTCATCCCTTTATTTTAAGTCTGTGTCTTTACACGTGAGATGGGTCTCCTGAATACAGCATGCCGATGGGTCTTGACTCTTTATCTAATTTGCCAGTCTATGTGTTTCAATTGGGGCATTTAGCTAGTTTACATTTAAGGTTAATATTGTTATGTGTGAATCTGATCCTGTCATTACGATGCTAGCTGGTTGTTTTGCCCGTCAGTTGATGCAGTTTCTTCATAGTGTCAATGTTCTTTACAATTTGGTAGGTTTTTGCAGTGGCTGGTACCAGTTATTCCTTTTAATTTTGTAATTACTTGCCATTGTATCCATCTTAGAACATTGATCAAATAATCACAAATATCATAGAGATGATACTCTCTGCTATTAACCAAATTTTCCTTCTTTGTGAAACCAACTGACTAAATTCTTCATTTTATTTTGGTATTTAGAAATAATTTATAATTTATTTTTGGTGGAATTTTGTACAAATTCTCCAAAAACCAATAATAACCAATTTTATTCAGAATGTATTAAATGTAACAAATTTTATTTTGATCAATGAAGACTAATTTTCTAATTTTGCTCAAAAATTTTAGATTGTCTTGCATAATAAAGTTAATATAATGTTTACTGCCACATACAAATTCAAAAGACTTGTTAGTTTACATTGTCCATTTAATGTTGACCAAAATTGCTTGAAATTTTCAGAAGAAAAAAACTTTAGGTAAGCGTAAGGAAAGTCTGATTGCATTTTGTTTATAATCTTGTTCTTTTGTTTTCATTCTGATTTGGCAGGCTGCACACTTTTTTTTTTTAGTTTCACGTAGGTTGTGGCCATTCATTTTCTATCTTAAGTCTTATTTGATTGTTCTTCCAGAAAAAAATTTAACATTTGCAGTGCTGCATCTGGATTAAGCAGTTTGGTTGGAGGAATTTAAACCTTTAGATTACAAAAGAGCTTACTTTCAATTGTCATAGCTGACATTGAATCTATGCCTAAGGGTGTAAGCAATGTGGATACTGGAATGTCTCTTGAGTTTCATATTAATGCATTGACTAGCTAAATAAGTAATACACTGATCTCTTGATATCTGAGATGAAGAATGAGTAAAATCCACGTAAAAATCTTCCATAAAACTAAATTTATCTTGGAATTCTTAGTAAAAATAAATTCTTTTGAGATGGAACTTTGGAAAGTTTTCTTACAATTTCTTGAAATCTAGTTTGACAGTACATTGTAGTCTGATAATTCTGTATTCTTCATTCTGATTTTCCAGGAACCTGCATTTTTTAATGGCTCAGAAATTGGACTTCTCAATAAAATAATCACAACAGAACAATCTCCTTTCTGTAGGAAAAAAACCCCACTATTTCAAGGCCAGAGAGCCCCCTTTATTATATGGTTTGTTGAGAGAATTACTCAGAAGCAAGCATGACTGAAGATACTGATGGATTTGAGGTATTTGAGGAGTTTTCTCTGGTGGCTAAAATGCTTTGAAAATAGTTTGTGCAGCATGTTGTAAGGTATTAAAGTGTTCCTGGGGTATCTTTATTTAGTGTTTGAATTCTCCACAAGAAGAAAATATAATAAAATCCTTGATTTAAATCTTCATTGTATCACCTACTCTCCCATCTCACTTGTTTTTCATTTCTGAAACCCAGTATACTTAGAGTCATAAGGCAAATATTTAGCTATTTCAAATACATTGCCTAGAGCAATTCGTGGAGGCATTTCACCACAGTTTTGAAGCACCTGAATTGTGACATTGGCTTCCACATTTTCTAGAAGCAAGTTATCATTAGATTGTGTTTACTATACATGAACACAATCTGTTCTAGTCTTCATAGCATGGAACCATATTTGTCTGTAAAGAACCCACACACTTTACACTTCAAAATGGTTTTCTATAGATGACCTTGATGTATATACCCACTTTCCTCTCCAGATTTTTTCCAATCTTTGGTGGAAAAACAGCTTTTTCTTCTATCTTTCTGGTTCTTGTGGGCATGACAAATGCCATTTGCAAGAAGCAGTCTAAAAGCACTGGATAGACACAATATTCACGCATTACTCTCTGGATATCTTCATTGACTGCTTGTTGTTATGTCATCCTTTAGCTCATCACAGAATGAAACAATGGCTTTTAGCTGTTTGAAAATAACATCCAACATAAAAGAGGCATTCAGAAAGTTCATCACTGTTTAAAATCAACTTACACTTACTGGCAACTCTAGAAAGCATCTTCTTTCTGTAACTTAAGAATCTGGTAGACAGCAACTATATTAGAATTCTTCCAAGGCATCCTGCAGTGATTATGGAATCACATCTTTGTATCTCGACAGAATGATTTTACGTCTTTTATTATGTCTAACATGACTTGGCAAACCAATATCTCACAAGGAAACCAAGTCTACACCTTGGAACTACTACATTAAGTTTAAAATAAACAATTTTTCAAGTTATCTAGAAATACTAAAAATAAATACCACTTACCTCAAAAATATTCCCTGGCACTACATCTTCATTTGTATACTCTTTCACTGTCATCTTGTAAAATGACTTACTACCTGATTTTGCTGGTAAAAGCTGACATTTACATTTTCATCATGCTTAACGGTTACAAAATTATTTTTCGTTTTCTTTTTTCACCCATTGGCAACATTTCATGACTCTAAAGCACTTATATTCTCATCTTCTCATTTCTGCAGAGAAATAACACAAAGCAATATGATTTTTTAAAATCAGCTAGATAGGAGTTTACAATTTATGTACTAGAACAACCATTTAATTTGTTCTTTTTTAAGTTATCTGCTGCAGTGCTTTCTTAAAAACATTAGATTTGCTCTTCTATTTTGTGCTAGGATATGAAACAAGGTAAAGAAAGAAGGTTGAGGCCTCATTTAACATGGGCCTACAATACTTTTCTGAGTGTTAAGGAGATCATAAAAACACCATCAAAACTATAAGTTAAAGTGCATTGACTGAATTTTTAAAATAATAATGAGACACAAAAAAGTTCCAAATTATTTTTGTTGAAACAAATGTTTTATAATTACAATCTTTTCAAGGGACAGGGCTGCTACGTTGCTCAGAGTGCAGTGACAGGATACAGTGGCTATTCACTGGCACCACCATTTCACACTACAGCCTTGAACTCCTGGGCTCAAGTGATCTTTTGGAGTAGCTGGGACTATAGCTGTACACCACTGCACCTGGCTTTTGTGATTTTCCCCAACTTGAAAAATAGTCATACCTTAGACAATTTTTTAAATAAGTCAAGCATAGTTGAACTATTTTATTCCTTACCAACTCTATAATTCATATGCCTTGTTATTATTGGATTCACTTTGAGATCCTCAGAAAGACTCTTACTGAGTGAAATCACATGATGATGTTACCAATCTGGGTGATCTTTGGTTGTTTTCTTGGAAAAAAGAATTTACCCAAAAGACCAATTTGTAAAGCAAGCAAGAGTTTTATTGGGGAAGTACAAGTACACTCCAAGTGATAGGCTAACCCTGCTGGAAACACCCCGAAGACATTTTGCATTGTGATCTTCTATTGTCTCAGTTCTTTCTTTACCCAGTTGTCATCAAAGTTTGGGGGATCCTCCCTTACTGTGATTAATGCACATGCATGGGAACCAGTGATCAATGGTGGCATTGCTTATTATCTAATGGTGGCACTGCTTATTATCACAATCCCAGGAAGGTATAGCCATCAATTTTGTACTCATTGTGCCTGCTCAGTTCTCAGGAATTCCCCTTTTGCCTTTTTCCTTCCTTATCAGGATCTAGTTAACAATATTCTGACAGTTCGACCAAGGAATGAGTACTGGGCATCCTAAAAGGTGTTCCAGAGCATTTTTTCCAACATGGATACCTCCCCCTCTTGCCTGCTCATATCTGTCTACCCTTGCATTTCTCCCTCAAGGAGTTGGGACCCACAAATCTTTTGGGAGACGGGGCAGAGGTCATTCTCTGTAGCTACCTGCTGCTGAAAAGGGGGCATCAAAGGTCTTCAGAGTCCTTCCTCCTTCCTTGCTATCAAGGTGAAGAGGTTTTGACAATTGTTGCTATCTCTTGGAAGGTTTAACCTGTGGTGTCCAGAGGAGATATGCAGGGACTCGGTTGTCCTGGAGGGAAAGAAAGAGGTTAATATCCCCATGAAAAGACTATTTGAAGTCTGATGGTTTCTCGGTGGGAGCAAATAAACTGAAAAGATTGAGAAAGCAAGGCCCCAAAAGGAGAAGGAAGATAGAGGTCAGGGATCCCATTAAAGGGAAGAGCTGAGAGTGAAGAGCAGGAGACACCCCAGCAGAGCCAACCCTTAGTAGCCCTTTCCTAAAGGTGAGAGGTCTGGTTTATAAGGTCTCTAATGTGGTCCTGAACCTGCCCTGATCTGTTAACACAAAAATACAAGAATTATATTAGAAATCCGAAAACCAAAAGAAAAGAGATGCTATAACTAACTTTGGAAAAGTAGTTCTCCATTCTGATATCTGAAGACAATGAGCTTGAGGCAGGATTCTTTAAGTCTTCTCTTGGATTATGTATTCTGTTGAGACCTCTAAACCGTCATTAAACTTTCCACTGCAAGGTGGTTCTAGGACTGGGATCATAACACACATACCCAACAAACATACGGTCTGCTCCTTCACTAGAAGTTTGGTACTAAAATCTGCTAGAATTTCCTTCTGTGAAGATTGCAAAAGACAAATGCTAAGTGTTTATTTTTTTTCCCCCAAATTGTAGGAGATTGGTCAGGGTGGTGGGAGAAATTTTAGGAAAAAGATGCAAACCTTCTTGGAAGGCCAGGAGGTTTTGCAAAAGCTTTTCAAAAGAGGATTTGGCTGACGGCAGCTGAATTCTCTCAGGGTAGATAACAAGGAAGTGTAAGGGAATTGATCTAGATAAGTTAGTTTGATTAAAGGCCAGAACCTGGCCTTTAATCATCCACTTGCAGGACTGCTCTCTCTGGTGGGGAGCAGACCATCTTAATTACCCACAAGTTGTGGTTGACTCAAAGCCTTTGTCATTAAATCTGTACTAAATAAATTCCCACAGCGCTGGCTTGTCAGGGCTGTGGCTTCTGTGACTCTTTACAGAACCCTTCTTGGTGTTTGTGAGTGGCCCAGTCCCCTAGCCGCTGGCCCAGGCAAAAAACCTGTCTGCGTACATTTTTTCATCCACTGCTCGGCGACGGTCTGCAGGTCAGATCTGGCAGGCAGTGCCCCTGTGTGAGGAAAGCTGCAACAAATCACGATGGAATCCTTGAAAATGAAGGTGAAGAGACTGTGCAGTCAGTAAGTCAATAAGTCACTGGTGCCCGCTTGGGATTTCCAAGTTTGAGGAAATTGTTCAGGCTAGGGTTTCATCATGGGGCAACAGTTATCAGCTCGGCAGCAACAGTATATAAAAGTATTGAAACAGTTGCTTAAAATTAGTGAGGCCTCGGTTTCGCAGGCTCAATTAAGGTACCTAATACAAACTGTTGTTTCCCATAACCCATGGTTTCCGAAAGAAGGCATGCTAGATGTAGAGCTCTGGGAACAAGTGGAGTGAAATCTTAAACAACATCATACACAAGGGCAACAGCTCCCAGTAACATCTCTAATGTTACAGGCCTTAGTCAGGGCTGCTTTAGTCCTGCTCTACAAAGAAGAGTCCAAAAAGGGAACGGAAGAGGAACCATCACCTAACTTACCACCTCCTCCTCCTCCCTCAGCCCAGCCATTACCAGGCAAAAATAACAAAGAGGAAATGGAGGTTTTGCCTGAGCCCCCTCCACCAATACAACTGGAAAAAATACAAGGGATACACTACAGCTCTGGGACCCTGTCTTAGGCAAGCGGCATTAGAAGGAGAGCTCTTACCCTGCCCGGTAATGCAAGATCAACAAGGCAATCAGGTATATGAACCCATTTCTTTTGACACTTATAAAGAGATAAGAAAATGCATTAAACAAAAAGGAGCCACTAGCCCATTTACAAAAGGAATAATTGAAGCCATAGCAGACAACTACCACATGACCCCATAGAACTGGTCAGGGCTAGCTAAAACAGCTTTGGAGCCCAGCCAATTCCTCCTGTGGAAGGCAGAATATGATGAGTTGTGAGAACAAGCCAACCAGAATCAAGTGGCCAGGCAAGACATAACAGCTGCTATGCTCCAGGGGAGGAGTCCCCATGCCAAGGTACAACAACTAAATTTTGTTCCCCAAGCCTATACAGAAGTGTCTTTGTGCGCTGTCAGGGCTTGGGACCGAATTCCTGAAAGCAGAGTTCAAGAGGGATTTTTTATAAATGTTCGACAAGGGCCTCAGGGCCATTTGTAGAATTTATCAATCGATTAACCCAGGAAATTAAGAGACAAATTAGTCATGCCCAGGCCACTGATATCTTATTGTTGCAATTGGCTTATGAAAATGCTAACATCAACTGTCAGCAAGTAATGCAGGCAATCAGAGGAAAGGCAGCCACAGTCAGGGAACTTATACGAGCATGTCAACTGGTGGGGACCGAAATACACAAATATACAAATATTAGCTATGGCATTAAGACCCCCTAAAGTGAAAAGGGAGAAAAACCCAAATTGTTTTCTATGTGGAGAGCCAGGTCATATGAAGAGGGAATGCCCCAATAATAGAGACCAAGGTAACTCAGGAAAAGAACCTCCTTCTCTGTGCTCCCAATGTAAAAAGGCAAAACATTGGGCAAATCAATGCAGGTCCAAATTTGATAAAAATGGCAACACCCTAAGTAATCTGGAGGGAAACTTCATGAGGGGCTGGCCCTAGTCCCTGCTCCAAACTGGGGCAATGTCAGTGACTTTCCTCGATTGGATGGAAAGCCCACAGTCCTCTCTCTCACAGCAGCTACCACTGGCAGCAAAGGATTGGACTTACTCTGCCCAAAGAATTAGTGCTAAAAGAAGCAGAAGGCCCTAAAAGGGTTCCAGCTGGAATCTTGGGCCCACTGCCTCTGCGAACAGCGGGATTAGTCCTGGTTAGGGCGATCAATCCTAACCAGTAAAGGAATCAGTGTGCTCACTGGGGTAACTGTAGTGATTATCAAGGGGAGATACTAGTTATGATGGAATGTAAAGGTCTGCATAGTCTTTCCCCCTGGATTAAAGATAGCTCAGTTACTATTTTTACCATACTGTGTCTCCAACAGCCAGGGAAAGGAAAGGGGAAAGGGAAGTTGTGGAAGCACAGGAGCCACAGGAGTATAATGGAACCAATTAATCACTGATCAGAGACCGATGATTACCTTAAAAATTGGAAATAAAATTTTACTGGCTTATTGGACACAAGGGTGGACATTTCGATCACTAGTGATCAAAACTGGCCAGAAACTTGGCCTTGGGTCACTCAGGAACAAAAAATTGTTGGCATCAGGGAAGTGCATACAGCCAAGCAGAACACACCCCCCCTAACATGTTGTGATTCAGAGGGAAGAAAAGCAGTTATACAACCTCTAATCATGTCCATTTCTGTTAACCTTTGGGGATGGGGCCTATTAGCCCAATGAGGGGGGGTCACTCGGCAGACCCCTTTCTAATAATGGCCACTGTTATGATCCCTCCCCTACCCCTAACATGGTTCTCTCTAAATCCTATTTGGGTAGAAAAGTAGCCTTTAAAGAGAGAGAAATTACAATGAGCCCATGAATTAGTTGAGGAGCAATTAAGAGACAGCCATACAGAACCATCAAACAGCCCTTGGAATTTGCCCATTTTCAAAATTCCCAAAAAGTCTAGCAAGTGGAGACGTTTGCATAACTTACGGGCTATCAATGCTAGTTTGCAACCTATGGGGCCCCTTTAACAGGACCTCCCTTCCCCCGTAGTGATTCCTCAAGTTTGGCCTATAGTCATTATTGACTTAAAAGACTGCTTTTATACTATTCCCCTTGCAGAACAGGACAGAGAAAAAATTGCATTTACTATACCAGCTATCAACAGTGAAAGAGCAGCTAGCTGATTTCATGGTAAAATGCTTCCTCAAGGAATGCTAAACAGTCATACCATGTGTCAGTATCACGTAAATCAGGCTTTGCTCCCCAGTAGAAAAGAATTTCCTAATTACAAGATTATTATTCATTTTATGGATGACATATTACTGGCAGCCCCAACAGAGCCAGTATTTTTAAGTCTGCATGCCTCTGTCATAAAGAATACACAGTTATGAGGTTTAATCATAGCACCTGAAAAAGTACAAATGTCCTCTCCTTGAAAACTTTTTGGATCCATACTAACTTCTTGGTCAGTAAGACCTCAAAAGGTTAAATACTAGCAACTTACATATCTTAAATGATTATCAAAAATTACTAGGCAATATTATTTGGCTTGGGTATAACTACTGATAAGTTGCAAAACCTGTTTTCTATCATAAAGGGCAATACAGCCCTAAACTCTCCCAGGTATTTAACTCCTGCAGCAAAAAGGGAAATGGAGGAACTAGACCAAGCTATTTCTCAGAGGCAACTAGATCACACAGACCCAAAATATTCAGTTCAATTGTTTGTTTATCCTACCAAACATTCTGCAATAGGATTAACAGGCCAGATGGCTCCAGGGCTACGCTTCCTAGAATGGGTTTTTTGCTCACATACAGGGACTAAAACCCTATCTCCCTATAACCAGCTAGTTAATAAAGTCATCTATTCAGGCCACAAGTAATGCAATCAGTTGCTAGGTTATGACTCTGATGTCATCAGAATTCCTCTGTGTGAAAGGCAATTTGAAGCAGCATTGCCCCTATCTAGATCTTCAGATAGTACTCTCTCATTATGCAGGTCATATAGAGCATGCCCTCCCTGCTGACAAACTAATTCAGTTCTTATCTCATACTCCTGTAGTTGTGCCTACAAAGTAGTTCACTCCCCCATACCTAATGCTTTAATGCTTTTTACTGATGGCTCTGGTAAAAATGGAAAAGCGGCTATTTGGTGGAGATCACATAATTTCCTCACTCGTTCTGGATTTACTAGCACTCAGAGAGCTGAGGTTGGAGCCTTCATATTGGCCCTGGAGACGTTTACTCAGCCTATCAATATTGTTAGTGACTCTGCTTACTCTATTGCGGAACCTTGTGACAGCCCTCATTAAGTCTACTCTCGAGCCCACACTG